TTGTTTTTTACAGTCAAAGTAATTGTGATAAACACATTTAATTTCAAATGATCAGAATAAGAAATATGTGAGATTTAGATATCATACAGTATATTCATATGTTCCTATAATTGTTTTGGCTTTATAGAATATCAGTTGAATGATAAAGATTTAGTGTTTGAATCTCATGTTAGTTTTCGTGAATCGAACCAGAGAATTGAATGTTATTCTGCAATGACACACAGATATAGATCTATACAGTATTTCATGCTTTCTTTCTGCTTTTATTCTTTCTGCTTCGCAATACTGTCGTGAAATATGAAATATGGGGATCATGGCTGTGTGTCCGTGGACTCTCGACGGAAGGATCGTGAGCAGTGTGTGTGAACCTCTAACAGTCTGTTGGCTTTCTCACACACACACACACACTGCTCATGGCGAGATCCAGTCTGTCACTGGATATATTCCTGCTTTACTCTTCTCATCGTCGATAAACAATCTCAGCATTATGAAGCTCCTCGAGTGTTTGGATGTTCTGGCGTCTGGAAACAGAAGATTTAGATTTGGCATTGAGGATGAAGTCATCATGCATTGATGAGATACGGTGTTTGTTAAATGATCCCATATTTTTCGCGTGTGCGCGTGCACGTACGCGTGTGTGTGTGTTAAATGCAGTTTTCAAGGACAGTGTCAGTTCTTTGTTGCCGATCTACTTTGTTAAGATTATCCACTTGACATTATCTAGTAGTTATCATTATCGTTAGCTATGTTTCCGTTTACACGGTCCTGAAAACGCAAACTTTTGAAAACGTTACCGTTAGCGTCTTTGGTGTAAACTACAAAAACGTGAATATGTGTAAATGGTGATGCGTATTACATGTTCAGTCTATCATACCATGAGGGCGCCATCTACTGGCTGGACAGCAGAATACAGCGGTTTACTCATTTACGCGTCATCTTTTTGACAGCGTTGTCGTCCGTACGTGAAAAACGCAAAGGAAAAACGTTTAGTACATAGTTGTCGTGTAAATGTTCCCTAATTCCCTCCAGAAGCGTCTCAGATGATTTCTTTCTCAAACACCGGCTTTCAAAAGCAAGAGAACATTATTATTGCAGTTGGTAAAAAAGAACGTTTTTTTTTGTTTGGTTTTTTTTCCCAGTTTGCAGCAAATTCCAATTTTAATTACAGATATTTCCCAGGAAGTGATTATTTCATGCCATGTTTTATTCCAATTAAGTTAAATTCAACTAAATGGAAACACAGCTATTGTTATGATCTGAACAATTGAACAATTAATTCAGCCACAAATGGAAATGCTCATTTTTCCCTCTTGCGGGAGTTTAACTGCTGTAAAATGGAGGGATTTAGTAAAATTATTACAAGATAAAATAAGTTACTATCAAAAATTATGCAAAACGACAGAATGTTTTTGAAGGAGATCCCATTTGAATTTATGCTTTTACGACTTTAGCTGTAATTTTGAAGGAAAACTATGGTCAATTTTCATAATCGTATAACTCGTAAAAAAAAAAAAATCTTTATCCATAATATCTGACTTATTTTCCCTGTGGATGTTTCCTTTGACGTGTGTGTAATAGGGATGCGCGGTATACCGGTATTGCAAAAATACCGGTATATAATAAATTTCAAACGGTACAATATCATCATTTTGTTAAATTCGGTATTTGATGAGCTGCTGTTCCGAAGTTCTCCACTAGGCGGCAGTGGGCTACCGAAACTGACGCGAGTCACGCGAAACCGGCAAACGGAGGAACACGGTGGAAATGAAGCTCATTCGGATTTCTACACGCCCGAAATTAATAAATAGAGAGAGCAGTATGAGTGAAATAAGGCATTACTTTGCCTACTAAATTAATGAGAATAGTGTAGAAACAGACCTCAATGCACCACTCTGCAAACTTTGCTTTCAATAACGTGTTGCCATGGAATGCAACACATCAAATCTGCCAAAGCGCTCGTCAGTTGCTCATCCTGACTTGTTCAAGAGATCATCTGGTGAGTTCATCATTCAACTGATTTAATTTAGACTTTTATTGAACACCGAACAGCGCACATACATAAGAGCTTATCATTTAAATATGATACGGTAAACACGAAAGCTCAAATCTTCTTGCATGACACCCTAGAACCAATTCAGTTGCCGTCTCATGATCTCATCATTTTTGCAGTTTCAAACAAATATATTCATTTAATTTGAATTAATAAAGCACAAAAGTGATAGTAAAATGAATGGCATTACTGCCGCTGTGGCGACCCATAGGCTATAGAGAGGGAGAGATATAAATATTAATAATATTAGCCTACAATTAAGCTACATTTGTCAACATTCACTAAGGAACTTGGACTAACAATATAGCATTGATTAATCTAGATCAATCAGTAATTAAATGACCTAAAAATGTAATATCCTAATAAATGTTTAGCATCATAACATTACTTTTTGCAATGCATTATATGCATAATATGAACCCAAACACAAACAGTAACCAAACCAAGATGAATCAATGCAATACATGTTGATAATTCTCTGTTGATGCGTTTACGTCATTTCATTATTCTATTATGTTAATCTATTATTATAGATATTAACCTATTTTAATTGTATAATATCAGTGTTTTTTTTCCCCAAATCAAAATTCTACCTACACATAATTTGTTTATTTTTTAAATTTTGATATGTTTTTTTTGTTTGGTTTTTTTGGATACTTTTCTTTGCACATATGGTAGTTGAGAGTTTCAAGCAGTGTTTAATAAAATTGTTTCAATTCACTTAAATTTAGACTTTTTTTCCGACTGTGGTATCGATTTAGTATCGATACCGAGGTATTAGGTTCTGGTATCGTATCGAAGCCAAAATTGTGGTATCGAGCCATCCCTAGTGTGTAAAGCCATGTGAGTGTTTCCTTCAGCTCTTGTGTTCCTCCAGATTCATTACAAACATGATTACAGATGATTTGGTCTATGTTGTAAAGCCGCTATTTCTGTCCGCAGAGCCGTCTGCGTTGGGTCCTGAGATCGACGTTTGTAAAGCGATAGAGAATCAATGAGCTTTGTGTGATATTCCAGAAGATCAAACCCTGTATTTAACAGAAGTCTATCATTAGTTTTGCACAGGCAAACGCCTTCTCGTTTTCTTGTAAAGTGTCAAAATGTAGAAACACACTCTACTCTAGTAAATATGGTTACCAACACCATGGTGAATTTCTTAAAAATGATGTTTGATAACAGAATAGGAGCGTTTGGTCTTCGTTTGAGGCAGAAGTGATTGTCTCAGCATGTTTCTGTGTGTTTATGTCTGCACATGTGTTTCCTCAGCTCTTATTATCTGCTTCTCAAGCACATGCGCATCCACGAGACCGTCAACAACACACACACACACTTATAACCTCCACAAGAGACCGTCAACAATACTGCATCTGCTATCAACAAACACACACACACTCAAAGCTTTACAGAGGATATTCTTGATCTCACAAAATCTGTCCAGAACATGTCCAGATGACATTTAACCCCAAAATCACAAGAAACAAAATAGATCATATATTTAGCTTTTTCATTACAATTAAATACATTTTCCCTCCAAACAAAAACGATTTACCATTTAAATAGTGAGTATTTGTGCATCATATTAGTTATTTTTTGCACTGATTTTAATCCAAATAATAATTGCATTAGTGGAGAGAATCAACACTGGTGGGAGAAATGTGTTTAAATGTCATTAAAATAATGTAAGTGCAAAAAATCCTATATTATAAAAGTAGTTTTAGGTCATTAATTATGCGTGAATTGTGACACCTTCAGAAAGTAGAATGCATTAAAACTTGACTTGACAACCAATGTTGAAATAACAAGACTATAATGCATTTTAACTTGTATATAATGCATTATACATAAAGGCTTTAAAAATAAGCTTGATTTTCTTTATGAAAATATAATTGTCTTTAGATTTTGCACTAAATACATGGAGATTGATCCGTGTTCCAGAGTGAAATGTGTTTTCTCTCAGCTCTGCGTTGCTCTGAAACATCCCGCTGGTCTCGGGTGTAAAGCACGTCAGCTCTCGTTGGCGTTCTCTGTTATCTCAGCGAGGAATGATTGACAGGTTAGCTTGTCAGTAGCTCCGCCCCCTCCCCTTGAATGCAGCGACAGAGACGTGTGTGTGAGAAGAAGCGCAGTGTGAAATAACTGCAAGGCATCAGAGAGCCGCAGATTCACGCCGGTTGTCCTTGGACTGTTAATACAGAATAATGTTCCCAAAATGTGCAGTTTACAACAGACTACACTGAGTGGGTAATGTATCCCACAATGCAATGCACTTGACTTGACCTTCCACATCTAGTGAGACGACTGAACCGGAAGTAACCTTTTGAAAAAAAATTTTCTTGATCATTATTTAATTAGAAAATTTCATATGAAATGTGAATTGAGCATATTTATTTCTAAAATCATAACTGGATGCCATTCAATGAATCAGACATGCAGCATGCAGTTCTTACAGGTGCAACCTAGACGCATCATTAGTGATGTCACACGCGTCGCATACATCATTAATGGAACCTTTTTTAAATGTTACTGGTTTTAGAATGTTCAGAGAACATTGAAACGTAACATTCTCAAATGGAATGTTCGTCTAGCCAAGAAAAAACATTTTTGAAACATTTAAAAACTGGATGTTTTGAACAGCCCGAGAACATTCAAAAGTAACATTCCAATAAAATATGTGAAGGTTGAAATGGAATGTTTTTCTAAGAATTTGTTGTTGTTTTTTTAAACATTTAAAATACTGGATTTTTGGAATTCTCCATCAACATTCGTAAAAATGTTATATTTTTGTTAGCCTAATGAGGTTGTGAGAACATTCTGAACATTTTCTCAGACTTTTATGCAGTTTATTACATTTTTATTGTTTTATTAGCAAAGACGTCTGCCTGCATTTAATTACATTTATGACCTATATTGGATTCTTGTCATTAATATCTTTCTCTCGCTGTCGTTTCAGACGCTGCTCTTAAGAAGACGCACTTAACCGAGGTGAAGCATCATCCATACATCATCATTAAACTGCATCTTTCACATGTTATTGATCTGAGGTTTCAGAGCTGAGTGAGATGTAATGTTGGACAGCAGCTCAGATCATCTCAAGATCAGTGTGTGTGTCCTCAGATGCCGTCGTCCTCGAGTCAGCCCATCTCTGGCCTGGAGAAGAAGATCGGCCACAGACGAGTCGATGCGTCCGGCGAGACCACGTACAAGAAGGTGCGTCTCAGTCTCAGTCCTTCTCAGTCCACACATCTGTTCCTTCAGGCTGCTGATATATATATATATATATATATATATATATATACAGTTGGGTCCAAAAGTGTCTGCATTGGAAATCTGTTTTCTTCCCGGCAACGCTTTGTCTTTGCCTTTTTCGCATCACATATATATTGCAGCACTGTTTTGTAATTGGACATTGCATTATACATGGAAACGGTGCTTTAACCCTTTTAGCACTTCAGTTTTTGGTACATTATCTTCAGTAATGCATGTGCTAAAACATTATTCAGTTAAAAAATTAAAGTGTCTGTTAGTATTATTTAATGGAGTTGGCATGAATTAACAATAAACATTGTTGTATTTTAATTAATTTATTAACAAATTAAATACTCATTGCTACCTTATTGTGAATTGTTACCAAATATCGAATTATATATTTTATATACAAATATCTATATTAAAAAAATAAAATTTATATATTTTTGAAATTCTTATATATGCATATATTTTTATTTTAATAAAAATTTAATTATGTTTATTTAATATTTTATTTTTTATTTATTACGTATTCATATTATTAAAATATTTATATATTTTGTATAAAAATATTATTTTTTGGTGCTGTCAAATAGATTATTATATTATGTAATATATGTCGATGTATACTATATATATATATATATATATATATATATTAGGGCTATGCAAAAATTAATTGCGATTAATCGCATCCAAAATAAAAGTCTGTGTTTACATAATATATTTTTGTGTGCTGTATATAATTATTTTGTATATATAAATACACACACGACACATGCATGTATATATTTAAGAAAATGTGTTATTCATATATAAAATATTTATATTTATATAATATAGATTATGTATTTATATATATACAGAATTTAAGCTCAAATAATTCTTAAATATATACATGCATGTGTGTGTATTTATATATACAAAATAATTATATACAGCACACACAAATATATTATGTAAACACAGACTTTTATTTTGGATGCGATTAATCGCAATTAATTTTTCCACAGACCTAATATATATATATTAAATACTATAGTTTATGTATATATATATATATACTATATGTATATGTGGGTATATACTTACATATGTGTACGCATATATATATATATAGTATGTGTGCGTGTGTGTATGTACAAAATGTAATGTTGCGATTAATGGATTGGACAGAAGTATTTTTTTAAATATATATATAATAAACATTCTGTGCTTATATTTGTAGATTACTATTTGATCAATTGAATCCTTCCTACATTTACATTTATGCATTTGGCAGAAGCTGTTATCCAAAGCGACTTGCATTGCATTTCAAGGTAGACATTTACATTCTTATCAGTTCTTGCGGCCCCTGGGAATCGAACCCGTGACCTTGGCGTTGCAAGCGTGTACTGTTTGAGCTCCAGGAAAGCTTGCTCTTGATATCCAGTGATTGTGTGTGATGTCTGACTGGTGTCAGAGAGTCTGAGTGTCGTGTGTCTTCAGACGACCTCGTCTGCCCTGAAAGGAGCCATTCAGCTGGGCATCGGATACACCGTGGGGAACCTGAGCTCCAAACCCGAGCGGGACGTCCTCATGCAAGACTTCTACGTGGTGGAGAGCATCTTCTTCCCCAGGTCTGTCTGAGCAGGGCAGAATATCGAAAAATTCTTAAATCAAGATGCATTTACTATACGAGAACCATGCAATAAGATATTATGTCTCGTTTTCTGGGGAAATAAATCAAAATTAAGTGAGTTTTTTGCTTAAAACAAGTAAAATTATCGGCTTTATATTAAGTATGTGCAATGCACTTATTGTGTTTATGTTGTATTGTAAAACACTTTTTTTGCTATTGAGATGTGATATGCAATTACATAAATTAATTACGGCTGTAATTACATTTTGGTATTTTTAAAATATAAGAACAATGTAAAAACATGCATGTGCACAATAAGTCCTCTGTATCAAATTATTAATTCCAATGTAAGTACATAAAGCCACTTTTCACCAAATTATCAACCAATGGGTAAAAAAAAAAAAAATCTTGTTTCTGTTTGAATCAAGATAATTTAGCTTTTTTTTGGTGTTTTTGGTAACAGTGATGTGATCATAAGTCACACTGAGCATGAATGAAATGATGCGGATGTCATGTGACGTCCTTCGTGTGTTTTCTCGCAGTGAAGGCAGTAATCTGACGCCAGCGCATCACTATCCAGACTTCAGGTTTAAAACGTACGCTCCTGTGGCGTTCCGCTACTTCAGAGAGCTCTTCGGCATCCGGCCCGACGACTATCTGGTGAGACGCGTCACACACACTCATCAAACACTGCCTTCGACACAAGCTCTACTGTGTAAGAACGAGGCTATGATTGAATCTGGAAATAACTGAGAAAAATGTGAAATATTCCTCAGATGCCATATCTGTAATTTATAGCAAAACATCTAGCGTTAATTCCATCTCAAACAGTTTCATTAAAATTATCTATTACTCCAACACCTGTGTGACGTCATAAACCAACGTGGTTGAACGACAAATTTGCGACAATTAGGTTTCGGGAAACATAGACATCCATAATAATGGCTGGATGTCTTACGGTGGAGTCTCTTTCGTCATCACCGGCGGCCATCTTGTCACAGGCATGGGCTCTCTGATGTAAGATGAGTAATAGCACGAACATAAATACTCTTATCTCGCTGAAATCTTGACGGATTTACCAAACGGTTTGGTTTCTTACAAACGTTATTAACGTGGCTATAATTATGGATGATTATTTATTGATACACTTATTTTTTTTATAAGTATGCAGTGTCATAACTACATCTCTGACGTTTATAACAAACCAAACCATTTGAAAATCGGTCGAAAATTGAGTTAAAAAGTACATGCACCATTAAACTCAATGTTACGAGTGAGCGAGCTGACTGTGGCAAGATGGCCGCCAGTGCGGACGTCAACCTCCATTGGCCAGCAGCGCGGACGAGACATCTTTATCTTTACATTTTTACACTCCAGAGGTCTTAACTGTATACTGAGGGTGAAGAGTTCACATCGGGCAGAGCTGAGGATCATGGGAAGGTTAATGCGTAATTATCATATGAGAGTCTGGAGCTTAAATGAAACTTAAACATATTAGGTGTGTGAAAGCACATGGCCACTTTATAAGCCCACACACACACACACACACACACACTAACACGACCCCTAAACCTACTCATCACACACACACACACACACACACACACACACTAACACGACCCCTAAACCTACTCATCACACACACACACACACTAACACGACCCCTAAACCTACTCATCACACACACACACACACACACACACACACACACACACACTAACATGACCCTAAACCTACTCATCACACACACACACACACACACAAACACATTAAAACTCTCACTCACACACACAAACTCTCTCACACACACACAAACACTAACCCGCCCCCTAAACCTTCTCATCACACACACACACACACAAACACATTAAAACTCTCACTCACACACACAAACTCTCTCACACACACACACAAACACTAACCCGCCCCCTAAACCTTCTCATCACACACACACACACACACACACATTAAAACTTTCACTCACACACACAAACACACACACACAAACACTAACCCGACCCCTAAACCTTCTCATCACACACACACACACACACACACACACACACACACAAACTCTCACACAAACACACACACACAAACACTAACCCGACCCCTAAACCTTCTCATCACACACACACACACACACATTAAAACTCTCACTCACACACACAAACTCTCTCACACACACACACACACACAAACACTAACCCGACCCCTAAACCTTCTCATCACACACACACACACACAAACACATTAAAACTTTCACTCACACACACAAACTCTCTCACACACACACACAAACACTAACCCGACCCCTAAACCTTCTCATCACACACACACACACACACACACACACACACACACACACACACACAAACTCTCACACAAACACACACACACAAACACTAACCCGACCCCTAAACCTTCTCATCACACACACACACACACACATTAAAACTCTCACTCACACACACAAACTCTCTCACACACACACACACACACACACACACAAACACTAACCCGACCCCTAAACCTTCTCATCACACACACACACACATTAAAACTCTCACTCACACACACAAACTCTCTCTCACACACACACACACACAAACACACACACACAAACAAACACTAACCCGACCCCTAAACCTTCTCATCACACACACACACACATTAAAACTCTCACTCACACACACAAACTCTCTCTCACACACACACACACACAAACAAACACTAACCCGACCCCTAAACCTTCTCATCACACACACACACACACACATTAAAACTCTCACACACACGAACACAAACTCTATCACACACACACACACACACACACGCAACCTGAGACAGATGGTGATTAGCACACTAATACTTTGCTTTCTAAGCACTTAAAACAACAGATATCCACTGAGTGTGTGTGTGTGTGTTAATGAGGACACAAATGTGTATTATGTCATGGGCATTACAAGGTAAACAAGGTGGACACACTTCCTGTTTCTGCATAAACCAAACGGCTTAAAGCACATTCTGAACAGTGTGTTGTTGTTGTTTTTAATTTCCAAAAATGCATTCAGCTTTCTGTGATGGGCAGGTTTAGAGGCAGGATAAATAACAATAATATAAACAATAATATAATATAAATAATATAATGTGTAAACTTGATGAAAGGCAGTGTCTCTGACGTTTGTCTGTTTCTGCAGTATTCTCTCTGTAACGAACCCTTAATCGAGCTCTCCAACCCGGGTGCCAGCGGCTCTATTTTCTACGTCACTCGAGACGACGAGTTCATCCTCAAAACCGTCATGCACAAAGAGGCGGAGTTCCTGCAGAAG